TTAAACGAATATTTGTTCGTGATTGGTTGAAAAAAATACAATGAAAGAGATGCATCAAGATATAAACCCGAGTTTTGAAGAAATTTTCATTTTGGGTCCAGTTCTGATACTGCTCAAAGTTCTCTGTTTGCTTACGCAACTTATTGTTATTTTTAACGATGCCATACCACATCCAATTAGCCATATTCACTGTGCTTCTTACGATTCATCTTTCAAACTAAAAGTTGTTTGTAAAGCACTCGAGTGGAAGAACAACAGAAAAACGGCTGACCACTTTGGTATTAACGAGAAACAAGTTCGTCAATAGATTCGGGCGAAAGATCAATTATACAACAAGAGTCAAGCCAATGCCATTTCTGGCTGACAACTACAAATGCAAGCTCGAAGAATGAGTAAGGACAGCACGTTTAAAGCAATCGATGGCTGGCTTCATGCTTTTAAGGCGCGTCATTCGTTGTCAACGTGGTCGCTAACATCAATTGGACAAAAATTACCAGCCGACTACGAGGACAAGATCCTGAAATTCCAGTGATACGTCATCAGCATTGTTATCCTCTGAGTGACATATACAACATGGACGAGATACCGTTGCAGTTCGATATGCCCGGGACCCAAACTCAAAACAGTGCACATTAAAACCACAAATTCAGGGAAAAAAGGGCTTTACTGCAGTTTTGACGATAACCGCTGACGGTCAGTTCGTTAATTCCATTCAAAGAAGAAAAAAAACGACAACTAGACGACCTCGCGCGGAAGGAAATAAAAGTAGAAGTACAAGAAAAAGGATATATAAACGAGTCCCGTAAGTAAGTATTTGTTTGTTTGTTTGTTTGTTTATTCCACACTATTCCCAATTGCTGGTATTTTTCGATACTTTATTCAATGCATTTTTTTAAAATTTCAGTTTGTCTGAGTTGGGTGACAGATACTTTTCCCAAACGTGGTTTGCTTTTTGGTGCCGATCATGCACATTCATGCAAGTTTTTTTAACGAACGTTTGACAGACAACATAAATTTTATTTTGCTTCGTTTAAATAAATATGAATAACAATTTTTGCTAAAAATTAAATAAAGCATGCATGTATCTATTTGGTAAAACAAATTAAACTAGTTACGTGATGAATCGTGGAGCTAAAATCAGCTGATTGTACGTGCTGACATTTACTTAATAATAGCTCTTTAAAATTCACATTTATTTTGTAATAATAAATATATATATATATTATGCTTATATAATTGTAGGTTTTTTCAACATCCATGCCAATAATGCATGTTACAAATGTGCCACGCCCACTCCACCTTCACATTGGCACGCCCTGTTTAATTTTCAAACCGTGGAGAACCTTGCATAGCCCTTGTGGCTTTGTCTGCCAAGTTATTTTTTGTGTCACAAAGTTAGCCATTAGATTGTGTATTTTTACCATTTTTAGATTGTATATTTAATGAGAAAACAAAACTAATCCTTGGGCAGTAAATTTGTCAAGTGCTCTTGTTTTGAAACATAATTTGTTCAATATACTTATTCAAAAGGACTTACCTTTGGCCAAAAAGTTGATGTGTAAATTCTGGGTGGAAGTTCTTGCTATCGTCATCGATATCACTTGGTGTTTTCACTGATAAAATAAATATAAAATTGTTATATAAATGACAAAAAAAAATATTTTTGTGTCGGGAGACAGTTCCTAACATTGAATGTCACTGTTGTCTCTCCTGACTTTTTTATGTGTAATTGTAAGTGCCAGTGCTAATAAAAAGTGCAGTTTGCTACAGACACCATT